CAGCAGCTCACTGTCCAGGCACCTCTCTTTACAGAGGGTGATATGGGTAGGAAGAGGCCGTTTAGAAACATGACACTTCAAAGGTGGTGTTCCTAGGAAAACAATTGCACTTGTTTTAACAAAACTTGAGCTCTGGGAAGGGTACAAGGGGTTTGAGCTGCCGCCGTCAGTCAGCGTCCTCTCCTCCCAGCTGCACGGAATGGTCTTGAATTACGAGGTGTCAGGAGGTGAAGCTGGCTGAGGCCGAGGCTGGGCTCCTCCCGGCCCTCCCCGAAGCTAACGGTGGCTGGAATATCAGCTTTACGTGAAGACGGGAATCTTAAGCGAACCCTGGCTTTTTTCCCTTTTGAATCATGTTGATTCCAATGGCATCACAAAGCTGTTGAAATGGAACTGACGGCTTGAAGCAGTGACTGCATGTTGACTCTGTCCGTGTCTGTGTGTGTTCTTGCTGTTTTGTAGCTTTCACGCTGTAGTTCAATGAGTTCATTATCACGTGAAGTGAGCCAGCACTTTAATCAGGTACCTGCGGCTGGCGGTCCTCACTAACAGAGCTCACATGTGCCGCCTGTGTCCCTGAGCACGCGGTGCTGGTTTGCGGCATGCGCTTTGCCACTAACCTCGCCCTTTGTCCCCTCAGCATCAAGTGACCAGGAGTGCAGTGTTCTGATTTTTTGAGACAGATTTTTGCTTTCTGCCCAGGCTGGAGTGCGGTGGCACAATGTCGGCTCACCGCAACGTCCGCCTCCCGGGTTCAAGCAATTCTCCTGCCTCAGCCTCCCGAGTAGCTGGGATTACAGGCATGTGCCACCATGCCTGGCTACTTGTGTATTTTTAGTAGAGATGGGGTTTCTCCATGTTGGTCAGGCTGGTCTCGAACTCCCAACCTCAGGTGATCTGCCCACCTCAGCCTCCCAAAGTGCTGGGATTATAGCAGTGTTCCTTTAAATGGCCTTAAAGAGGGGTTGCTGTTCAGTATCCACATGCACCAGGCGACTGGACTGAGCCCGAGTGTCCTAGTGAACGAGTGGGTTCTGTCATTTTTCTCCTGAATTGGTTTTTCCAATGATGGGCCGGGGGTGTGACCTCGATCTGGGAGCGTTTGTTGGATCAGTGTGCTCTCCTTTGGAAGGAAGGTTTCTCCTTTCTGATCAAGCCCGAGAAGGTTGGTTTGAGGCTGGGGCGAGTGCTGCAGTCACTGCCCTGCAGCCAGTGTGGGAGGGAGGCGAAGGAGCGCTTTCGAGGCTGCCTGTCACAGCACCAGCTGCGACCCTTCCACCTGCACAGGAGAGCCCTGTCACGGCTGGAGCCTGAGGTCTGCAGCGCCCGCACCTCCTAACCGCCGCGCCCGCTCAGTGCGCGCCTTCCCGCTGCATGCCGCAGTGCTTCAGACATTGGCTCCGCACGTTGCTTTATGTTCACCATTTTTCCATGAACCATTAAGTAACTAAATTCAGTGTTGCAAGAAGTATCTCTGACTTGCTTCTGTAGCTTCTTTAAAAGTCCCATAAATCCTACGTAGAGGTGGCATCTGTATCTGCAGTTGAAATGCCAGCTGCTGTGCAGCCCTACTGAGGCGACTCTCTGTGCTTCTCAGGCTCCTGGTGACCTCCCTGCTGTAGGGGGCCCTCCCGGCGGGGCCGTGCCCTTCTACAACCCTGCTCAGCTGGCACAGGTGAGTGCCCTTGCCTTTCCCCACAAGACCCTGACAAGGCCCTGCTGCTCAGTGAACGGCACCTTTCTTCCCTGGAGTCTCTTTCTTTTTTCTTTTTCGAGGCAGAGTCACTCTGTCACCCAGGCTGGAGGGCAGTGTTGCGATCACGGCTCACTGCATCCTCCACCTCCCGGTTCAAGAGATTCTCCTGCCTCAGCCTCCTGAGTAGCTGGGACTGCAGACAGTCGCCACCACAGCCTACTGAGTTTTGTATTTTTAGTACAGATGGGGTTTCACCATGTTGGCGAGGATGGTCTCAATCTCCTGACCTTGTGATCTGCCCACCTCAGCCTCCCAGAGTTCTGGGATTGCAGGCGTGAGCCCAATGCCCAGCCTGTATGATTTTTATTTCTTTTGCCTAGTAGTTTCTTGACAAAACGTCCTGGGGTGACTTGGGAGAAGCCTTTCGTGTCTGAAGCCACCCCTGGCCCCTCTGGCGGGTTGGTCGGCGGGTAGAATTCTTGGGCCCATGTTGTTTTCTTCAGAACTGTAGGTGCTCATAGGTTTCCTGGTGCCCACAGCTGATGAGACCCCAGGGCCGTTCTGCCTGCACCCCTTTCAGGGTCCTGTCCCCTGGGACTAGCAGGCTTCCCCACCCTCAGCCCCCTTCAGATGGAGAGTGCTCGGAATGTTTCCTGTGGTTTCCCTCCCTCAGCCTTGTCTCCCCCCCTCCCTTGCCTGTGGAGTTAGACTGGAGGCCAGTGTGGGGAACTGAGTGGGGACCGAGGCCGGGGCGTCTTGGGATTCAGCCCCATTGTCACCCCAGCCCACCCTCTGGGCCGCACACGCTCTTGACCACAGGCTTCCTGGGCTGGGGCCCGGAGATCTTGTCCTGGTCCTTTATGACGAGGCCCCTCCAGCTGCTGCTGGCCGTCGCCTGCTTCTGGGCGTCCAGAGCAGTCGATTTTGGGATTGTCCTGCTCCCTGTCGTCTAGTTTGTGCCTTTACAAAAATTCCTTGGCTTTCCCCTGAGTGAGGCTTTGTGAGGGAGCAAGAGCGGATGCCTGCGTTGGCCGGCCGAATGCTCCTGGGGTCCCCACCTCCCTTGCAGCAGGCCAGGCCTGGCCACTGCCCCTCCCTGCACTCTGGGCAGCCATTCTGGCTCTGCAGAGCAGCTCCAGATCCCACACCCCTGACAGAACTGCGGAACCTCCTGGCTGCCCTCACAGCAAACACCGGTGGTTAAGGATTCAGTGCTTTCAAGGCAGCCCAGGGCTTGGCACTGACACGTTTGGTCCCAGAGGCTTTTAGAAACAAACGCTTGTCGGCGTCGACAGCCCACGTGGTGCATTCTGTAGACCAGCACCCTGCCCCACTACGCCGAGTGCTGCCTGCCCTGGGAGCAGGATGCAGAGGTGGGTGCTATGGGTCTCGTTGCAGGCCTGCGGCGCCTCCGGGAGCTCAAGGCTAGGACGGATCGGCCAGAGGAAGCACCTGGTGCTGAACTAGGCTCGCCCCGCTGTGAACTTGCACTTGGAGCCCTGACACTGCTGTTCTCCCCAAGAACCCGACTGACCGCCGTGACCGCTGCCCTGTCCCCAGGGAGACACAGCTGTGATGCCGAGCTGGTGGCACGTTGTGCCTCCCGCTCCCTACCCATCCTAATGAAATATTTTGAAAATTAATTCCACCGTCCTTTCAGGTGCTGTTGAAAGACTGAACCTTTGACTCAGAAGTGTTTGCTGAAAAGAATGACGTGACTTTCTTAGTCATTTCGGGGGATTAAAGGGTGTGGTATTCCTGCTCGTTTAAGAATGCTCCGTTCCTGACGTTGGAGCTGTCTCTGCCACAGGAGAGCCATGCGCTCGCTAGTAACCAGGGCCTGCCTCTCCAAGCTCAGCTGTGAGTCCCGCGCTTCCTTTAAGGTGCCGAGAGCAAAGAGCGACTGGCTGAGGGGGACCCCGAACCCCGCTCTGCACCAGCGGGACCCTCGCCGTGTCTGGACCTGGCTGAATGAGTGGGGGGCGCTGTCAGTCAGCGTCTCGGGGAGCCGCAGGGTTCTTCGAGCATCAGTTCACAGCTTTTGAGAGAGGCCCTAGTTACTGAAGTGCATTTCTTCCCTGCTGCAAAGATGTTTCTAGCCTCACTTTCCTTTCTGTGCCCTGATAAGGACCATGGGTGATTTTGTGCACCCAAAGTGCTGGCCACTGCCCACCCACCAGGTGTGGCCCAGTCACTGGGAAGGAGCCCCAGAGAGCCGACTGTCCGACGTGATGGCTCCGGGTGGCCATCCGGGGTGAAAACGCGACTGTGATGTTTGCTTTGGGCTTCGTTTTGGGTGTAGGAGCTGCTCAGACTCACTGTTAAGGAGGCTGGATGCGGTTCTCTAAACAGCTGCCCTTCCCCCTTCTGTGAGCACTTTCCGTGCTGCAGTCCATGTGACCCACTTTCTCACCCGGGGGGGAGACTGGCTCAGGGGTTGGTAGCATCTTGGGGACAGCAGCTCTGGAACCTGATATTTCTGCCCCGATGTCGCCACACTGAGACTTAGAGTAGCTCGTGGTGGACGTGGCCCCGTGGAACTCAGAGTTCAACGCGGATGCAAAGCTTTAAGGCTCTCTGACTGTTCCGAAAACTCTTCATGTTGTTATGTCTAAAGAGACAAAAAAAGATTTAAATACGAATAAAAATCAGTAGGTAATTTCTGCGGGTTCTGCTGGGAAACATAAACTGTTTGGTGTTTTAAATTTCAGTGTAGAAATGGTAGAATGTGGAATCAGCACGGGCCGTTCCTGGCTTTCTGTTTCACGTGATCATTTAGCAGAGACCCCAGGATGTTTTCCAGAATGTTTCTCACGGGCAAGTCTGCTGGATCCATTTGTCCTTGTCACTTGGAGAAAGGCCAGTCCCTGTGACGGGGCAGCCCTCCCTGTCCCTTGGTCAGCTCGTGTGGTTCCAGGGACCTCCTCCGGTCGGCCCTGCCTGCTGTTCTGGGGTCGACTGCCACGACTTTTGATTTAAGAAGCTTCCTCCAGGCGGAAGCAGCTATTTTTCCTAAATGCGAATTGTTACATTGCAAATTGTTGAATAAAATATTTTGCGCTCCTTCAAGCACCTTCACCTGTGGTTCCCTTTGGTTTGCTAGAGGCGAGTGAGTGCAGGTGTCCGCGGGCCTGGCCCTCGCTGGGACCTGCTCGGCTGTCCGGCTGCAGGTTGCTGGGGTCGGGGGGTGTGGGGGGCGTGGGAACCCTGTGCGGGCCCCGCGCGGCGCGGTCCTCCGGCCGCCAGGGGCCGCTGTGGACGGCGCGCGGGGCGAGGACCGGGCGCAGGGGCGGGGCCAGGGACCGGGCGCGGGCCCGCGGCGGTCGTTGCTAGGGCCCGGCCGGGCTGACTCCGCCTCTGCGCGTCCGGATCTCCGCGGGCGCGGGTACGGGTCGGCTTAGGAGTCTGCGGGTCCGGCCGGCGTGCCCGGGTCCCGCCCCTCCTCCCGAGCGGCGTCCCGGTCGCGGTCGAGCCTCCCCAGCGACAGGCGCCCACCCCCGCCCGTCCCCCCAGGCCCTGCCTGCGGCCCGCCCTGGGATCGGCGTCGGGGAGCCCCGAGGGGCCGCGGTACCCGGGGCCCGGGCCATGCGGCAGCCCCCCCCGCCGCTCCGCGACCGCTCCCGGCCCGAGCGGGGGCCGCTGCGGCGTTTCTGCTCCGCGCTGCGCCGCCGACCCCGGACCCGGCAGCCGTGACCCCTCCCGGGAGGGCCCGACCATGCCGTCCAAGGCGGCGAGCCTGCGGCCCCCGGAGCCGGCCCCGCAGCCGCCGGGAGGGAGGACGCTCCAGGGACCGCTTCCCGGCGCCGACGGAGCGCTGGCCCCGCGCGAGGGGTCCCCACCCGACGCTCCGGGCCCCGAGAGCCCCGCGCTCGGCGGCGAGGGACCCCCGGCCCAGGCAGCACCCATCGCCCCGCGGCCCCCCGCCAGGCCTCGGCTGGAGCGAGCCCTGTCCCTGGACGACAGAGGCTGGAGGAGGCGGCGATTTCGAGGCAGCCAGGAGGACCTGGAAGCCCGGAATGGGACCAGCCCCTCCAGGGGCTCCGTGCGGAGCGAGGGCCCCGGCGCCCCCGCCCACAGCTGCTCCCCGCCCTGCCTGAGCGCGTCCCTACAGGAGATCCCCAAGTCCCGCAGGGTCCCGGGCAGCGAGAGGGGGAGCCCGTCATCGGGGAGTGACCCCCTCTCCGGGGTGGCCGCTAGCGCCCCGAACCTCCTGCACAGAGACGCCACCGTGGCGGGGAGCTCGCCCAGGCTGGCCAGCCTGCTGCCTCCGCGCCCCCTGCCTGCCCTGGGCCTGGACATCGCCTCCGACTCCCTGAGGACGGCAAACAAGGTCGACCCGGATCTTGCAGACTACAAGCTCCGCGCGCAGCCCCGCCTGGTGCGGGCCCACAGCAGCCTGGGCCCCGGCCGGCCCCGGAGCCCCCTGGCCTGCGACGACTGCTCCCTTCGCTCGGCCAAATCGCCCTTCAGCCTCCTGGCGCCCATCCGCACCAAGGACGTCCGCAGCAGGTAGGGCCTGGGGCGCAGCGCCTGCGAGGCCTTCGGGGTGGTGTTGAGGAGCAGGCTGCCTGAACCCCGCCAGTGGCTTCCGGTCAGCAGCGTGTAAGATGCCCAAACAGAAAAGACGAAGCGCTCTCCCGCAGCCACCCCGTCTCCCAGCCCCTCCCCGCAGCAGCGAGCGCCGTTCCCGGCTGTCCCAAACTTCCCAGAACTTTTTGTGCGTTTCAGAACCATTCCTGGGCGCGATGTCGTGTTGAGGTAGACAAGATGGCACCCTGCATACAGTTATGGATCTGGCTCTTTTTCTTTAGTCTTGGGAATTTTTTTTTTGAGACGGAGTCTCGCTCTGTCACCCAGGCTGGAGTGCACTGACCCAACCTCGGCTCACTGCAGCCTCCGCCTCCCGGGTTCAAGCGATTCTCCTGCCTCAGCCCCCGAGTAGCTGGGATCACAGGCTTGCACCACCACGCCTGGCTAATTTTTGTATTTTTAGTAGAGACGGGGTTTCACCATGATGGCCAGGCTGGTCTTGAACTCTTGACCTCGTGATCCACCCACCTCGGCCTCCCACAGTGCTGGGATGACAGGCGTGACGGCTGCACCGGCCCTGCCGAGGCGGGGGAATGTTGTCAGTGCGTGTGATCTGCCCTCTTGATGGTTTTTTGTTTGTTTCCTGCTGTGCGCCCAGGCTGGAGTGCAGTGGCGTGATCCTGGCTCACTGCAGCCTCCACCTCCTGGGTGCAAGGGAGTGATTCTTGAAGCAATTCTCCTACCTCAGCCCTGCGAGTATCCGGGATTACAGGCGCCTGCCACCACACCCGGCTAAATTTTGTATTTGTAGTAGAGACGGGATTTTGCCATGTTGGGCAGGCTGGTCTCGAACTCCCGGCCTTGGCCTCCCAAAGTGCTGGGATTACAAGTGTGGGCCCCTGCGCCCAGCCCGCCCTCTTTGTTTTTTCTGCTGCAAGAGTCCCAAGATGTACTGAGGCGTACTTTCCATCAGCCAAGGCTTGCTCACGGGGAACATTTTGGTGGGCTCCAGTTGGAAGGAACTGCAGCTGAACCCATGACCTCTCCCCAGCCTGGTCTTGTTTGGGGGTCTCAGCCTGGGGGCCTCTCCCGAGATGCTCCCACTCTGGCCTGGCAGAAGCTCCGGCATTCCTCCCCTCCCTGCTTCATGCTGCCCACATCCTGTCTGTCTGCTGCGGTGGGAGGCAGGGCAGGTGTGAGAAGGGGGAGGTGAGAGCTGGTTTCTGCTTTGGTGTCCGGGGCCCACAGTAACCCCTGACCACGGACTGGGAGGCTTGGGACAGCAGAGCTGGACTGTCTCCCAGTTCTAGAGGCCAGAAGTCTAAAATCTAAGTTGCGGCCAGGGCAGCCTCTCTCCAGAGGCTTGGGGAGGGTCCTCCCTATCTTCCCCTGCTCCCGGGGCCCGGTTGCCCTTGGCTTGTGGCCGCACGCCGCAGTCTGTGCCTCCGTCTTTACGTGGCCTCGTTCCCATCTCTCTGTGTTCCTGTCTCTTTTTATAAGGACACGAGTCGTTGAATTTACTGCCCACCCTAAATCCAGGGTGATCTCAAGATCCTTAATTAAGTACATCTGCAAAGACCCCTTTCCAAATAAGGTCCTACTCCGAGGTTCTGCGGGTCGAGGTGGACGTGGCTTTAGAGATCACTGTCCGGCTCACCGCGGTCCCCGAAAGTAGCCTTACCTCCCTGCACCTGGGGTCCACCGGCAGGCAGGCAGCTCAGCTCTGGCTCCCCCACCACACCCCTCCTGCCCATGGATGGGGCAGGTGTGATCACATACAGTGCAAAACTGTTTCTTTTGTTAAAACAATTCACTGTGGGGCTCCTAGGAAAGAGTGAGATTTTTTAGCGTATCACATTTTAAAATTATGTTCAGTTCACGTAGATACACCTGTTACAGGACATGAGAGGCACGTTTCAGATTTGGATCCTGAAGTCATTTTTTCAAACAACCAGGAAACATGGTTTGATGTGGATCCTTTAACCCAGTTCTACTGCCTGAAAACGTCCATTTCCAGACTGCTCTAGAATAGGTCTGTTCTAGAATAGGGGTTGGCACACTCTGTCAAGGGCAGGGGCACAGACAGTGGGGACAAAGGGGCATCTGTGTGCTAGTGAACCTGTTGGGACACACGTTTGAACCTCATGTTTTCATGGGTCCAGAAATGCTCTTCCTACTTTCTCTGCCGTTCCACACAATAGAAGCCATTCTGAACTCGTGGACCGCATGTGCATGGGCTGGGTCTGCCCCTTTCCAGAATGGCTGCTGGGGCGGGGCGGGGGCGCTTCCCCCATAATTCCTCTTCCTCCGAGAGCCGGCCCAGGGTGTCGACACTGGCCCGAGCAGCCTCATGCAGAAGTCCTGGCCCTGGACGGGGGTTGGAGGCAGCCCCTGCCCCTGCCCGCATCTGGACGTGGGACACAGTGAGGGCCACCCCTGGCCTGCTGTTCACTAACCACACTCTGGATGGAGCTGGGCAGACCGACCACGCGGCTGCTGGTGTGGCCACGGCGGGCCTGTGCCGTGGGCTTCGAGTCTGGTGACTGAGGAGCTCCTGCTGGGCCCGGGGTCACTTCACAGCAGTGGCCACAGGCACGCCCTCTGTCCCAAATGACCATGTGTGAACACAGCTGTCCCGTCCGGGAGTGTCAGCAGTTTCTGGGGTGAGGTAGGGAGGTTCCTCCCTGCTGATGTGATTTGATCGTGTCCGACGAAGCTTGGTGAGCTGCGCCCCAGGGTTGGAGAAGTTCTCACGGGAAGTAACAAGAATCGGTGCTGGCGTCCCTTGTCAGCTGTGACTTGGGAAACACCTGTGTCGTTTCATCTCCTGCAAAGGAATATTGGTTTCCGTCTGCAGGACGAAGGTGTAAGATTGATTCTCTTAGCAAGTTAAGTTGAAAAGTGAGGCCAAGGCGGGCGGATCACCTGAGGTCAGGAGTTCAAGACCAGCCTGGCCAACTTAGCAAAACCCCATCTCTAATAAATATACAAAAATTAGCTGGGTGTGGTGGCTGGTGCCTGTAATCCCAGCTACTCAGGGGGCTGAGGCAGGAGAATCGCTTGAATCTGGGAGGCGGACATTGCAGTGAGCTGAGATCGCGCCACGCCACCGGACTCTGGCCCGGCCACCACCCTCACATGCCTCTTCCCGGGAGGTGGTGAGGGGGTGTAAACCCGCCTGGGTGTTTGTGCAGCCGGGTTGGGCCTTGTCCTGGAGAGCAGACAGCAGTGCTATGGGGCCCAGGAGAATCCTTGTTCAGGGCTGGGGCAGCTCCTGACATTCCATGCGTTTTGCTGTTGTCCCTGGGGACCTGGCCGAGCCCAGGGATGTGTTCTGTGCCTGGCCCCAAGCTTGGTTTCCTCCCATCACAGGAGCTACCTGGAGGGCAGCCTCCTGGCCAGCGGGGCCCTCTTGGGGGCAGAGGAGCTGGCCCGATACTTCCCAGATCGGAACGTGGCACTCTTTGTGGCCACCTGGAACATGCAGGGCCAGAAGGTGAGCCGGGCAGGGTGGGGCGGCCTGAGGGGGGTGGCGCCTGGCGGGGTGGGGTGGCGCCGGGTGGGAATGGGGAGGCGCGGGGCGCTGTCAGATGTGAGCGAGGGAGACCTGGTAGCACTGTGCCTCGTCCTGGGGCCAGGAGGGCAGAGGCCCGAGGTGCACCCCACTGCTGACTGGCACAGGAGGGTAAGAGCGGGTGAGGACCCCCATCCCTCAGAGCTCCCGCCGGCACCTCCCTGGTCATGTGGCTGCAGATAGGAGGGGAGAGGGTGGGGCGCTAGGCCTGGCCGAGAATCGTCTGCTCACGGTAAGCAGGAGGGTGGGCAGCACAGACCAGGGTCACAGGGACGGGAGGTCAGATGGGTGGTCATTGGACAGACTTGTGTTTGGAGAGGGAAACTGAGGCTGAGGGCCAACCTGAGCTGTGTTTGGCGTGTTGGAGGCTGCCTTGGAGACCGACCAGGCAGATCCCTTTTTGGCCTTGGCCTCAGTTACCCCTCATTCTGAAGAGTCGCCGAGACTTGAGGTGCTGCAGTGGGATTGGCAGGTTTCGGGAGGAGCCGGCCGGCCCATGGCATGGTCCCTCCTTCCAGGAGCTCCCGCCCAGCCTGGACGAGTTCCTGCTCCCGGCCGAGGCCGACTACGCCCAGGACCTGTACGCCATCGGGGTCCAGGAGGGCTGCTCCGACAGGTAGCGCTGAGACCTGGGTCACGGCCACGCACGGGCACTCTCCAAGCCTGGCCAGAACGTGCGAGCCAGTTTTTTTCCAGTAACAACTCGGAGAGTCTAAGATAAATGACGCTTTATTGCTGGTGAACAAATTGTTGGCTGAAGGAAGCAGGGCAGCAGGGAGCGGGGCCGGGCTCCGAGGCCTCCTGGGGCTGCGCATCCACGCGGACGCTCTGCAGGAGGAGCCCAGGCCGCGTTGAGGTGGCTTCACCCCTCTGGCCCATGAGTCACACAACGGGAGGAGGTCTGCTCACTGAGTCTCAGCAGGGACCCGGGGGGCCACTCTAGTGGAACTGGGGCCTGTGGCCCCCGACTCTGGCCCACCGGGCCCTTTGGCAAATGAGTCTCAGTGTAAGACGTCGAGGCCGGGTCATGGCGTTTCCTTGGTAGCTCCTGGAGGGGCTCTGGGCGGCAGGTCCGGGGTGGCGGAGCTGGCTGTGCCCCAGCCCGCCGCACGTGCTCGTCTACAGGCGGGAGTGGGAGACTCGCCTGCAGGAGACACTCGGCCCGCACTATGTGCTGCTGGCGTCCGCCGCCCACGGCGTGCTCTACATGGCGCTGTTCATCCGTCGGGACCTCATCTGGTTCTGCTCAGGTGGGCACGGCTGGAGGGTGGCAGCCCCTCTCCACGGCGGACGGGGCCTTGGCGGGAGAGTCACACTTTGCATCTGGGATCTGGGGGCTGCTGCGTCACACACAGGCTCCACAGTGAGCCCTGACTGGCGCGCGGGTCTGGCAGCGTCGCAGGCAAGCTGAGGGCTGCCCTCCCACAGAGGTGGAGTCCTCCACGGTCACCACACGCATCGTGTCCCAGATCAAGACCAAGGGGGCCTTGGGCGTCAGCTTCACCTTTTTCGGCACCTCCTTCCTCTTCATCACGTCCCACTTCACCTGTGAGTTGCTGGGTGCCCACACCACAGGTGCTGTGGGAGAGGAGCCTGACCGGGACCCCGTCCGGGGCAGGGGTCCTGGCTGCTGGCTTCGTCTTCCATCCAAGGCCTGGGGCGGGCACTGTGCTTGCGAAGGCCCATGCCGAGGACCCCACAGCCGACCCTGACGTGAGGCCTGTGCCGTGCTGAGCCCAGAGCTCTGTCCTCTAAGGTGGAAGCGTCGCTGGCCAGGCCTGGCAGCAGGTGCCCAGTGGGCCTGGGCCTGCAGACGGCGGGCAGTCAGGCACGGTCCAGAGGTGTGGTTCTGGAGGGAGATTCGAGCATCCGGAGCCCTGTGGCCCCCACCCCATTTCTGCTTCCACAGCTGGCGACGGGAAGGTGGCGGAGCGGCTGCTGGACTACACCAGGACCGTGCAAGCCCTGGCCCTGCCCAGAAACGTGCCAGACACCAACCCCTACCGCTCCAGCGCAGGTGAGGGTGCACGCCGTGGGTGGGTGGCGCTGCCGTGGTCCATGTGGGCTCCTGTCGTTTTTAGGGGAGCAGAGGAGCGTCCTGAGCTTTGGGAATCAAGGGACCGAAAGTCCAGTGGCCCGAAAGTCCAGCATGGCCCCTCACAGTTCTTTAGCCCAGTTAGGTGTGTGGTGGGGGCGGGGGTGACTGCCGCCCACTCAGAGCATGGCCGGCTAGCCTGGGCCCTGGTCCTCCACTGCCCACCCCGCTGCCACCACTGGCTGTGCGGCGAGGAGCAGAGACGTGGCCACCACCTGCTGTGGGCGCTGCCTGCTCTTGGAGCCGCCCCAGGTGCCTTCTGGAGCTTTCCCAACTCGAATCCCACCCCAGAGGGCCCAGCCCCGCCGGCTGACGCCTGAGGCCGCCAAGACCCCCTCCCCCCAGGAGCCACTGCCAGCCACGTTCTGGGGAAGGGAAGGGCCTGCCGGCGCTCTGCCTGTGCCCACGCGTGGCCCACTGTGCCGCAGCGGACGTCACCACCCGCTTCGACCAGGTGTTCTGGTTCGGAGACTTCAACTTCCGCCTGAGCGGTGGGCGCGCAGCCGTGGATGCCCTCCTGGGCCGGGGCCTGGCAGTGGATGTACCAGCACTGCTGGAGCACGACCAGCTCATCCGGGAGATGAGGAGAGGTGAGGGCTGCGGGGCGGCTGCGGCGGGAGGTGAGGAGGGGTGAGGCCTGCGGGGCACAGCTAGAGCGAGCTGGCCTGAGCCCTCCGAGTGCCCATCCCCGGCAGGGTCCATCTTCAAGGGCTTCCAGGAGCCGGACATTCACTTCCTCCCGTCGTACAAGTTTGACATCGGGAAGGACACGTACGACAGCACCTCCAAGCAGAGGACGCCCTCCTACACGGTGAGCGCAGCCCGTCAGCGCCTCCATGTCGGGCGCCTCCCGCAGCCGGGAGCTGAAGCCCGGCCAGCCTGGACTTGAACCTCAGCTGCGCCCCCGGCCTCGTGGCCTGAGTCCCCTTTGGCGGAGAACAGCGCCCTTTCCATGGGTGTTTTCAAGGCCGGGTGAGCTGGCGAAGCTCCAAGGCCTGGCACACGGGCCTCGCGACCCTCACCCTCCCGCCAGGCCCAGGGCTCCGGCTGCGGGAAGCCTCGAGAACCCCCTGAGGCAGGGCTGGGCAGGGACAGCCGGGTCCACAGGTCTCTCTTGAGCGGCGAGGGACGGGCCCAGGCCCAGCTGGCCACACGCCAGACGACAAAATGGAAATGAGGATTGGGGGTCCCAGAAGGCTCCCTTGGGGGGCGCTTGAAACAGTGGGGAGGTGTGTGGGCCACACCCCACAGATCCTGGCAAGTAACGGCACCTCCTGCCTCCGGAACCTTCCCGAAGGACCGCGTCTTGTACCGAAGCCGCCACAAGGGTGACATCTGTCCAGTGAGGTACTCCTCCTGCGCCGGGATCAGGACGTCCGACCACCGCCCTGTGTACGGCCTGTTCCGGGTGAAAGTGAGGCCCGGGCGAGACAAGTCAGTGTCCTCGCGCCTTCCTCTCGGGCCAGGGGCAGGGCTGTGCCTGGAGGGTGGCGCAGGTGGACGTCGGGGCGTGTGCCATGGTCCCAGGAGCTAGGAGGGTCCCTGTCATCGTGGGGTTGCACGTGGGGCTTTGTCCTGGGACCTTCAGGGCTGTGGGTCCGGATTGGTGGGACTCCTGGAACGGGAAGAAGGCGGGAAGGGGAGAGGATCCAGAGGGTGAGGAGAGGCCAGCCCAGGGCCCGGGTGTGGCCGGCTGGAGGGAGGAGGGCCTTGAGCACCCAAGCATCTGCCCCGTCCTTCCATGCTGAGAGACAGCACCAACGCAGCCAGCGACCTCCGAACAGCCGCTCCTCCAGACCCGGGCGCCCTCCTAACACCCCACCCTCGGGTCCCCAGGGGCCCCTCCTAACACCCCCTCCTATCCATGTCCCGGCCCCCTCCTAAGGCCCCCTGTTCTGGGCTCAGCTCCCTCCTCAGGTCCCCCGCCCCCTCCTC